CCCCTCCCCCCTTTAATTTATCACTTATATTTTTTGTGCTTATGATAAAATGTATAATAAAAAAAAGACTAAATTAGAATGGAAGTGGTCTTGGCCATGTTGGTAGTGCTGTAATGAACAGTGGCGTTCCACACGACTAGAGATGTTGTGATTTTCTGCTTCGTATCAATGGGAGAAGATCTGACCTACTTTCTGCTCTAATCTGTGCTGATGGAATCAAATATTCAGCAAGGACGATGAAAGAAAGCACCATGTTCTGGGTAAAAGATTGAAATTACTTGAATTTTAGAAGTGCAATATTGATCTTTTTCTCTTGAGCGGAGTGCTGTTAGCACGTCGTGTGAAATGTTCATAAATATTTGAAACAGCTGTGCTACATCTAAAGAAGCAGAACATATATATTTATTCATGCGTTTAATAGTTTAATCTACAGTTTTGTAGATATATTTCCATTTTTTTTCCCGATTTTAATATTATTAGTTTTTTTTAAGTTAATTGATTTGCATTTAAATTCAAATTTAATTGTTTTGTTTTTAAAGTATTGACCTTTCTTGCATGATAAAATTGAACAAATAGAAAATACAAATAGAAATAACACACAAATAGAATAGAGCAAGAAGAATTTACACACAAATAGCAAGACATAACAATGCAGAAAAATATTCACAAAATACTTTTTTTTAAATAAAACATCAAACGTACATCAAAAGGCAATAACCGTTGAACTGAACATATAAATCTTCTAAGTAATATTTGTATTATTTATTTGATAAGGTTTGTAAAATGGTTTGCTATTAGATTAGATTAGTTTGTATAGCTGTAGTACAAGACACAGTTTTAGACAGTATTAGTTATGTATCATAAAATCAGAATAATTGCTTTTTTAATTTACCTTTGCTATGTTGAAATATATTAATTCTGGAAATTTTGGAAATTAATCGCACAGTCCTCAGAATTGTGATGCATATGATGCAAATATAATGAATGTTACTGTTGTTTTCATATGGATTTACATTTTAATGTGCTTTCACAAAATAAATAAATTCATAATAATAATAACAACAACAACAAACAGGCAGTAACAATTCATGCAAAAATCCTGCTATAAGAAATGCAGTTTAAAAAAAAATGTATAATCAAGTTTAACCTATACAACTTTTTAAGACAATCTTTGCTTGAGATTTTTTATTTTTTTTTAGCTCTTCATGTGTTATCCTTTGTGATATTAATTTTCAGTAATATAAAGCAAGGTAATGCTTAACTATACTTTCATTTGATGATCTTATTTAATATACAGATTTATAATTGCAACTTGTCTACAAAACAAACAAATAAAGCTTTATTCTGTAGTTGAAAAGATCACATAATACAGCTGTTCACAGATTTTATATATATTTTTTTTTTTTTTTTTTTTTTTTTTTTTTGGCAGTAAAATGTAGGCATATGGGCACTAAGCATTGAAACACTAACTAACCACTTTTACAAATTGCATTCAACGAAATTAAGCAACTCTACCTCTTGGCTGGTTAGAGTCATAATCCTCAGAGAGATAACCGTCTTCATCATAATCGTCATCTTCATCCACAATAGTCCCACTGTCCACCTGGTGCTCTGTTGTGTTTATTTTCTCTAGGGTGTGAAAGAGGTTGACCACTGTTGTTCTGGGTTTGGCACTCTCATACCTGTCCACAGAGGCGCCACCGCACACCTTGAGTAACACTGGAACAGAACAAGACACTTTATATATAAAACACATATTTTGTGTATCTTGCATACAGTCAATATGTAAACGAAAAAGAAAAAACAATGGCAAAACTGAAAACTGATGGTGATTATAGATACGCGTATAATGCAAAATGTTAAATCAAACCACGGACAAAATAGGGAATAAAAGGAGTAATCTGTCAAACGTGGTTAGAATAAGCTCGTAGCAACAAATCATTTACTTTTAAAATAAAAAATGTCGCTGAAAAGGTCTCGCACTCATTTAAGAACCTCGTGTAACAAAGTGCCACATATTGGGCAGGTCCGCGTGCAAGTTATAACAGCATATTTCATTAAGAAGTCATAGTTTTAAACACTCACCGAAACCACATACGAGAAAGATCACGATTCGTAACGTATACATATTCCTTTTAGTATAATCTGAGATATTACAGGATCAGAAGTTGGTCTCACTGTAACGTTACCTCCTCGCCTCCAGCACAGTCCGCGATCTGGACTCAAATGCGCGCGTGCTGGGGACTGTGTCAAAAGTCTCGTGCGGAGTGCTGGGAACAAAAGCGCACGCCGGTGCAGTTATATACACCCGAAACACACTTCCCTTTTATGAATTATTGGCCACACCTTATCAATCATCAGCACATAAGGCACAAAGCTGATATATAGTCCATCTAGTCAAGATTGAGTAAGAATTTGACACGTCAATAATTTGAGGGGACAGACACACAGTGTCACAGACTTTTTACTGTCAAGTTAATAATAAATCCATTTTAAGATGGAAACTAGCTTCTAGATTCCAACTAGCTTCCAACTACTATGATCCAAAAAACTGCTTTAACTTAAACTGGTATGACCAACTCATAAACTGGTTTAGTGATTATCCACAAGTTTGGACCTGCTATGAGTTTAAACTGAATTTATCAGCAGTGAACCAATATATCATCTGTAAAAGATTGGGTCATGCTTTAAAAATATTATATATATATATATATGTATATCCCACTAACTTTTGTATGCCTGTGATTTTTTAAATAGAAAATGGATGATAAATCGGTTAAAACAAAAGTTCAAACTGTCTAAAATCACTGATTACTTTTAAATACATGCATTTTCATGTATTATTTCAAGATACAGAAAACGTTCATGACAGTTCATTAAAAAATTGTGATGATTATCTGTAGTTGGATCACTGGCACCACCTTGTGCTCAAAATAATAATCTGACAATATGCAGACATAATCCATAAATTCAAATCTTTTTTATAATCATTAGTGAGGAACTGCCGAAAAGAAAGCCGATATTAGTCCAGTCATGCTAACTTGGTTGTTCTTGAACTACAGTTTATTGTTGGACCTTTGTTTTAACCTAATGATTTTGTCTGACAGAAAAAAAAGACAAAACAATGTGCATAAAGCAGAGACAACACATTTGTGAATGTTTATTAACCACAAGAAATCAAAGACAGACCAATAGAGCGAATAGCGACACCTACAATAACGAAAATTAAAATATGCATCTTGTGAAGTAGTCAGGAAAGAAAAGAAAAACATTTTCCAGTTCATTTTTAAAAATCAGTTTCAACAAAGTTCTTTCCGCATTATAAAAAGTGGAGTTGCAGCACCTCATGCCATGCGAGGCTGGTGTTCTATAGTCTCTGAAGTGAACAATTTATCTGGAGGATATTTACAAGCATGGGGCTAATGGACAATTGCCATTACTTGAGCTCAACGGCTGACCCTTCAACTCAGGAATTGCAGGAAATGTAATACTGATTCCAACACTGAGGTTCAGAGTACAGGTGGGCAAGGAGTGAATCTGATTCTTCCCATAGCCATCATCAAAAAACCAAAACCAGATGGCCTCAGCAAAATCGAGAAGTCCCAACACTCAAATATATTCCTTCAGGTGCGTCTACATGCCCCAGCCCCCTCCCATGCCATTCATGCTGACTGATCCACGGCTGCCGCCATAATAACTGCTGTTCATTCCACCCTGGCTATCTGTTGAAGTTCAGAAATAAACATGTGAAAACCAGAAGAGTGTGCAAAATTAGAAAATATACAACTAAAAAAATGGTACAAAGTTAAAACCCACTGTAGTCATTGTAGCCTCCCATGCTGGACTGGTTGCTGTATCCTCCAGTGTAGCCTCCACCCATCTGCTGCGCTCCATGTCCATAAGACGACTGGTTTCCTAGAAGAAAAAAAAAAATATATATATATATATATATAAGCACTAGTTTAGTCTCAGACTCAGGACAGCTGCTTCACTATTGTTGGTACAACAATTAAGAGATTAGAATAAGACATAACTGTTCCATGCTGGACTATTATACAGGGTTTCTCTAAGTTTTATGAAGGTAAATCTAAGACCAAGTAAAGAAAGTTCAAGGAATAAACTGAATGGAACACAATGTGTCAATATGGTCTCGCAATGTCATGTATTGTATTAGCAATGCTTCAAAGTTTGAAAATACAACTTCCAACAGATCTCCATTACTTTTTAATTAATTTTACAATAAAAAATAAAAAATACAAATTAAAAACACCTATGGTTTGAATATATCTGCTCCCAATCACTAGTATATGCAAATAACTTTTACTGTACCTTCTGAACACACTGCAAAAAAAGTGAAGTACCATCAGTATTTTTGTCTTGATTTCCAGTGCAAATATCTAAAGATAGTTTAAAAAAAATCATTTACTTGAAGCAAAATGCATAAAATATAAAGTATTTTTTATGAATAATTGATCAAATTGAAGTGAGTTCATGATTAAAACATGGACAAATATCTGCCAAAGGGCTCAGAAAAATTCACTTAATTCAAAGTTTTCAAACAGATGTTTCTTCTTGTTTTAAGCATATCTTGTTTCATTTTTTAAAAACTTTTCAGAAAACAAGACTTCACATGTTCAATTTGCATGTCAAGTAAATGTATCTTGATTTAAGGGTGCTTAGATTTGTGCTGGAAAACAAAATAAAAATACTGAGGAAGATTTTCTCTCTTTTTCTGGCAGCACATGCAACATTTAACGGCATCACTTTTTGAATTGAAGTTCTGATGTTCCGTTCTGTTCAGATTTTAAAACTTTTTAGGCTTTAATTTTTGAAAGGGCAAATTAAGACTTTGAAAACTATATAATATTTATAATATGCACATTTCAAAAGTGAAAATCAACAACAGCTATTCTAAATGCACAGGTGTTTCTAGGACTAGTTCGACCCTTCAGATTATCTTTTACATCAGTTGCAGTTCCCACAGAGGCCACAGGTTGCAGCAGAGCATTTGTTAAAGAACACAAGACTGCCACTCCATCTCAAACGTAGAACATGAAGCTTTTGATTCACGTGTTTTGGTTAGAAAACAGCAAATCTTTTCTAGAAAATGCAGTGAAAGAAAATATCACAAACTGATATTTGTGATAGTCAAAACATTATTAGTCTCATACATCTTCACAATCTGTAAAGAACAAAGACTTTGTATATCCAGCCTGAGCATTTACATAGTGGGGCAAGCTGAAACGTACAGGTTCAGGCTGGAGATGATTAGAATTGCAAACATGCCCTCTAACTATGACTAGTACAAGCCTCCTCTGGCCGTTCACCTGGTTAGATCAGGTTGGAGGACGTGCCATATTTCACTCATATTGTAACCCAATACCAGACTTATCTGACACAAAATCCTGCCTGCTGATTTTCATATACAAATAATAACGGCATAAACACTAATTTTAGTTTAAAAAAAACAACAACATTAGCAGGTGTATTCAGAAATATCCAATACATAATGCATTTAATAATTTACAATTAGGAAATGTTTAAACCATTTCTTTTGTTAAATGTTCTTCCTTCTTCTCAGACTTCCACTGAAATGCCTCGGGCTGTTGTTCATGCTTTTGTCTCTAACCGTGAACTAATTGTTTAATGAAGCACTTTAATATCTGAATGTCAGTGCATCTACCTGTGTGGATCACCTTAGGCTCAGTCAAGGCATCATTGAAATATGTGACCTGTTTTTCAACTCGGCTTGTGAACACTTTGACCCTGCAAACCTTTGTGTACTTGAACATACAACAAGCCCATTTGCGCTGGAACCTGCTAGTTATCATGCAACCTTTGCAATTCGAAACAAGCTGCCCCCATTCTTGACTTGTCGTCCCCTCCCCACACTGCACACAAACACACAATAGAACTCATTTCGGTTTGTGACGACGGCGGGAACATATCCAGACAACACCCCTCTAGCCTCCTGAATGGTTATGTGGTCTTTGGGTAATAGAGTGTGTAGAGTTTGCACTGTGGAGACAGTTTTTAGATCCTGATCGTTCTCAAAACAATTGTGCACCATATCAGTCCATCAAAGCTACAATGTGGGCTCTTTGAAGACTAGCATGTTTGCACATCCGTGCACTTTTTGTGTAGGCTACGTCCGTCTTGAGGTCATGCTAGTGAGCTCCTAAAAGTTGATAAAATTACCACAAAATTACCATGCTTCTCTTTGGTAAGAACAGACCATGAAGATTCATGACTCATCCTGCACCAAACAGATTTGAGGCCAATCAAAAGTAGTATGGCAATGCTCCATCCCTAATACCACATAACTCTGATTTAGGGATGTTCATTTTAACCGGTTAACCGTTAACCGACCGTGAAGAATTTTGACCGATTAATATAATTAATTAAACAGTTTAAAAACTCTTTTTTTTTTTTTTTTGTAATTTATCAAAATATTTAAAAAGGTTTGCTGCATGGTTGAAATACGCTACGCGTATAAAAAAAAGTGTTTTTAGAGGGAAAAAAAAACATAAGTCGTGTCTAAGTCGCATTTTATTATTTCATTCAGAAATAGGCCTAATGCCGACACGAAATGTTTACAAACATTATAATAAACACTGTAAACATAGCTAGGCTATTTTAGTTCCCCTCAATATCAAATAACAATATAACAATAACAAATCCTTTCAGTTAACAGTATTTAGAAAAGAACAAGAATTAAAAATATAAGAAGCTATAACTAAATGACAAGCCAAAATGAATTAATTTAGGCTAAAACAAAACTGAAACCAACTGTGTCTCTCATTCGACACAAAATCAAATGTTTCCGTATTTGCGTTGTATTTGAATGCCAAAATATTATTTATGATGTAGCTACTTCACTCGCGTTCCAATATCCACGTAAAACAAAATGGTTTGCATAACATCATTCACGGCGTTACGGTGATAACGCTTAACGGCACAGATTTTACTACATATTTAAACTGAGCAGTGTGTTTTTTCCATATGTTTGACTGACTGTATTTTATTATGATAATGAACAGGCTGCATTGTCAAGGTAGCAAT